ACTAAAACCCTTCACTCTTGACACACAGCCTTGCGGGTTGATGGGTCTGGGGAGGGCACTTCCCGGTACCCAACTAACTACCTTGGCACCTCCTTGCCCCGTGCTGGGGGCCGGTAGGGTCCACCACCAGACCCCAGAGGGTGTTCCCAGGGGGACTCCCAGTGCCACTCACACCTATAGATCCTGCCTGTCAGAGCAGGGCCAGAGGCGCCCATGAGTTTATCAAGTCTATGGCAATTCGGGTGCGATTCTAAATGAGAAAATGAGTCTATAGGGGTTTCAGAACCCGTCCAAGGCCACAGAGGTGATAACTAACATCCAAGGACTCAGTAGCAGCCCTTTTGGGGGAGCAGGGCATGCCTGGCTCCCACCTGGAGGGGGAGGAGTGTCCCCCATCTCTAGCAACCCCTCCCATCCAGGAAGACTGACATCCAGGTGAGTCCAGGTCTGGGCCCCAAGTACTGGCCTTGCCCTTGGCACCACACAGCCAGGAACTGACAGACCTCGCTGGCATAGGACTGTCGCTATCTCAGGGACTCTGGCCCGGGTCAGCAGGGCTACCACCAGGCGAGCGACATCCTCTCCACCATTGTAAATCCCCCTCCCCAACCGCCAGGAGTATTAGTAACCGCGTTGCACAAGAGTCAAAAACAGGCCCCACTGTCTTTAGGGGACCTCAAGCTGCAAATCGTTCCCACCGCAGCCTGCGCAAGGAGCTTGCAGGGAGTCCCGGAAGGCCCTTCCCATGGAGTCAGAGCGCCCTCTATCCCCTGCCCGGTGGACGCACAGGCGACCGTCACTCGTCAAGTCGGCCGACGGCAGGATTCTTTAAAATCAGCAACCCGGGGCCGAGGGTGGTTCTTCCCGAACTCTGCGCTGTGAACTAACGGAGCCACCGAGGGGCGCGGTGAGCGGCGCCTGGGCTCTGAGAGGGCGGAAGCCAGGCAGAGACCCCCCCAAGCACCAGGAGGCCGAGCCCTAGAGCCATGTGCCAGCGAGAGAAGCCTGAGCCGGCGCCACCCCCCACACAACCCCCCACGCCCCGCAACAGCGCCCGCCTCTGCGGTGCACGGCCTTGGGAGATTCTTTTATACATTTCCGAATTTCCTACAAAGAGCACATTTAATAAGAAGAATAAATTTTTACAAAAGCACAGATTGCATTGAGAACACGGTCACAAGGTTGAGGCAGGCCATCGCGGTCCCTGCTCCCTGCCCCAAGACTGCTG